TATAATGGACTTTTGAGCTTGAATACTGTTCGTTATCTCCATATATTTCATGTTATGAAAGTGTACATGACGTAGTCTGAAATTGTTTAACAATGACAGAAAATGTATAAAATAAGGATGTATGTACATCAGGAATATAATCCTGTAAAATTAAGTTAATATTTTGAATGTAAAATTAGAACAGAAATACAAATTTGGAAAAGATAAGTTTAGTCTCCTTTTTTGACCCTGTGTTAGGGAGTCCCTTAGAACTTTGCAAGAAATCATTACTAAAGAGAGAGAGAGAGAGAGAGAGAGAGAGAGTAACACATTTTGTCATCCCTGTTTCAAAATGAGTATTGATTTTAAGTGATAGCATACACTGATGTCAAAGAAAGGTCACGTAATTTGTCATTTTCTGATTTTTTTTTTCAATTTTATTACTAGTATTCAGATTGTCCTCAATTTTACAGCACAATTTGATAACACAGTAAGTTAGCTAGCTATCTAGCAAATTTGCATATTTCATGCAATTGAATCAGATATATCTTGTGTATATAAATATCAGATAGACAAGCTTGCGCCCTGTGTTTCCAAAAAATGAAAAGTAGCCAAAATGTTATAAAAAAATTAAAATTGAGAAATCGGTAAATTTCTTATTTGTCGCTTTCTTGGTGACTCCTTGTTCACTTTCAATAAAAATAATACTGGTTTCCAAACAAACAATGTTCTTAATATTGCAGTCACAATTTCAAGGCAATAACCATACCTTGTCCCTTACTTTGTCTAACAGTACATTTAATTTGAACTCTTTTCCAGTAACTTAACGGAAATTACAATCTGCTTGACCGATTTTACAAGGAAGCTTGACTTACATTTATACATGTATAAATTTATGTATTACAATAAGGTAAGGATGGCAATCAAACACTGGATTGCTATTCAGTTAACCGCAACACGTTCCGACCGCTTAACCGGTCCGGTTAATCGTACAAAAACACTTTTTCTTGTCAGACATATTTTTTTCAAGTAGCTCTATTCATATACACAAGAAGACTAAAATATACGTTAGAAGATAAAAACATTTTGTTTATCCTGATCAGAAAACTACATATATATTTTATTTCAATTTCAATTGACAAGTAAAAATTAAGAAAACTATGACATATGCCTGAGAAATCAGACATTGGTGATTTTTCCACAGCAGAAGTCACAATAGTTTCTTCTGCATTGTCACTTTAATCAAAACTAAGTCTGAACTATCACATAATTTACAATATTTGTTTCATAGTATACTTTGATAGAGCATCACTGAAGAGACATAATTTGTCAAAATGCACATCTGGTGCATTAAAATTTGTACCGTATAAGATTTACATACATAACTGCAAAAGATGAACATACCAGTTCACACAGTACTGAACGGTGATTTAATATCATTAAAGAATCACTAGACAGTCGGGGTAACTACGTGGTTTTTAAAAGTAATTATCACTAAACAAAATGACCGGTTATCCTATAATCTCAATCCGGAGAGCCGTAATTAGCCTCCATGTTCGACTAACCAATTACAGATTTTCTAACCGATTACCATCGTTCCGACCGAGTAATCGGTTTACCGGTTACCAATTGCCATCCCTACAATAAGGCAAAACAACGAACAATTCTTTTTGAATAAAAAAAAAAAGGAAAAAATTATCTGCTGACACTCAGTATTTCCAACGAGAGGCCAATTATTCACAGGATATTTGTCACTGTTTGGATTATCTTTATTCAAACTCCATACGTAATACATTTTCATTCATCGGTAAATGTATTGGCAGTGTATGTTTAACTTTTCTCAAATTTAAATGCATTCCCAATGCTAAGGACACTCAGAAAATTGAATTGCATTATCATATTCTAAAAGAAAACCTTAAATTGAGCGTAAGCACCACCAATCCGATCCGATTCTTTTACTCGTACTTTTCCAACTTTTCCATATTGATACATATATCACAAAGTTACATCATCCTCACCTTCTATCGAGTCTACATCACAATCTTATTGTCTCCTCCCAGGATATGTCAACATTATCATTGAAACATCTTAAGTTTAAGCTTAAGCTTAAGTTTAAATCATATATGGTACCAATTTAAATCAAAATAATTATATTGTACTGAAAAGCTTTAGAAGTCAAGGTAATCTAAAATAAAAATATTCTTCAATAGTGCACCACTAAAGTGCTATTATCAGCAATACACAGGTTAAGTTAACAATCAACATCTTACAGGCGATGAAAGTTTGACCTAAGTTTAAGTCTGTATCGTGATCTTTGGGTCTATTCAGACATTTTTGAGACAAAGGGACACGACTGAAAACATTTCTCTTTTAACTCCTTTGATGTGTTTTATTTTTCTCAAATGTAAGATATTGAGCTTTGTAAGTTTTTGATGTACAATTTACAAATTTATCGGCACAGGACTTTTATGCGACAAATACCTATAAAAAGTTAGTTCACAGTAATTTTGAAAATTCTTGTAAAAACAAAATACATGAATACTATGTGGCAAAAAATTGTGAAAAAATTGTGGAAGCGGCAAATTAGTTCTAAAAATAGATAAATTATTCGCTTTCTAATCAGAAACAAATTCATAGACATATTTCTTCCTCAATTTTATCCAATCAAATTTATATATATGCATGAATAGTTATGTACTAAGTATGAAGTGGTATAGTAAACAGACTTCAAAATTAGGCAGGTACATGTATTTTTAAAGCATTTTGGTGTTCTTTCAAAATTTGAGTCAGAAAATTTTAAAGCAAGGTGCATATTAAATCCCTAAAAACCCTACACTCCCTCGTAGCCATATAAATGATCTTACAATTAAAAAAAAAAAAAATTTTTATGATTAAATGCAATGGAAAAATTCTTTAGAATCGAGTGTGAAATATTATTGATATCACCATATACAAACACACCTGGGTTTTTCTGTATATACCATTGTTGATCAAATTTTGAAAAAGTAATAAAATGTCATTTGAAATTTTATTAATTACTTTATAAAGACAACTTTTATTTAATTAATCGCATTTATTCACTCAGTATTTCATTGAGAACCAGCAAAGCAATTTAATTACTTTGGTATGTAATTGACCCCATCCCCATTTTTTTCTCAGTTAAAGCGACAGTACGGCTGCAAAACGTGTGCTTTTTCATTCAAATTTACCCAAAATATCATTAAGAAATAAGGTATAAAGTTGATTTAAGCAGTTTGAGAAACAGAAATATTCCCTCCTCATACAAAATTAACGTAATTAGAATCTGCCGGAAAATCAAGGGTCGTACGAACTGGAGCAATCTTAGATTTGTTTATTTGTACCACGTGAATTCTAAAACGACACGTGCCTACACTATAGCGTTTACAATTATAATGAATATGAGGTAAAAGCAATTTTCAAAAGCAAATTATCATATCTTTCTGATAAAATAATCTAAAATAATAATCGTAAAGATTTTAGTCTGCTTTCAGGCGAATTTAACAGAATTAAAAGTACAAATGTTGACGTTTTGTGTATTGGGGTCCGAGAAAGGAAAAACCACCAAATCATACGTTAACGCGGCAAATGTCAAACAAAACATTTTTCTGCACAGTTAAAAAAATTAGCACTTCAAATGGCAACAATGTTTATAAGTCATAGGTGTATTTTTATGTTGAGTTTACACTAATTTTTTTTCTTTAATTGAAAGCGATGGAAAAATGAGAAATGATAACAAGCATTAACAAACCTGTCGAGTAGAACCTTCGCGAGCCCTGCGTGAGTGTTGCCGAGTTCCCGTTTCTTCCTTATCCAACGATTATATTAATCCCAAAACTAAATTTTAGTCAGGAAAGTTGCTTTTTCAAGCTCTATTTTCAGTTTCTCTTTCTTTTTGGTCGACTTTATCAATGTAGCAGGCCTACTGGGCTTTCCTCTCTTACCATGAAAATTTTATCAAGTCAGTTTTTTGATGAGATGCGCCGCACTGTCACTTTAAAGTGAGTTTTGTTTAAAAACTGTGTAATTCTTTTGACGCGATCTGTGTCCCATACAAGGTAAGCTAGAATAGATCGGCTCGATGTGTAAAATGGCATAAACAGAAAATTAACTACGTACATTTGCTTGATTTTGAACGACAATTGATGTAAGATATCAAATAAGTAAAAAGTATTGCTATCTACATTGTAATTATGTGTGCATTATACTAATAGACAAACGTTCTACATAAAACTTGACGCAAAGGCATTTATCTTACGAGACGCCGTTTTGTCATTCATTTAAAAAAAATATTTACCAAGAATTATTATGAAAGAAAAATCATCAGTATGTTTTATTAATCAAATTTTACTGCTAACAGGTCCTAAGAACTTGGTTGGGGATAATTTTCAGAAATACTATGCAATGAAAAGCAAACATAAATTATCTGTTTTACGGATGCTCGCCCTCATAAATGTTGTATGATGACCTATTTTTGTTTGATTGTCAAGGAATTTTTGTTCGGTTGCCCCCTTAAAAAATAGAATTACTGAAGGAATCACTATCTAGTTTGTTGGGTATGCCAGGGCATCAACGATAGTTGGAAACGTAATATAATTTGCATAACAGGCGAAGTCCGTTATGCATAAATTATCCCACGTTTCCAACTGTCGTTGATATCCCTGGCATACACAACAAACTAGACAGTGATTCATTATATTTACATTTATATATGAAATAAAATTATAAATTTAAAAAAATGCTGTCTAATAGATTTAAAATACACCCATTGTTAATTTCAATAGTCCCCGTCCACTGACGTCAGACACAAAGACAACCGCACTAGATTGACATGCATATTAAGGCTCCTGACCTTCCACTTGGCGAAATTTACATTCAGATGTAATTATCAAGAAATCAACTCACCTAACTTTCTCAGAGTTATTACAGAGAAAAAAAATAGAAATGTAAATAGATTTATGTCTTACGTGCCTAAACTGATAGTTAGACTAATATTGTTGCAGCGATTTATCGTGTCACTCCCGTTCTTAATGATGGATTACACTATAAGACACCTGTCAAATGACGAGGAGGATTCCAAATTTGCAAGTAGAATGATGATAAGAGCTGCTTATGGATTTTATGAAGCGTTATTTTCTAGTAGCAGGTAAATTCTATCCTCTAAACCAAAGTCATTTCGTAAGCCAATAAAGAGCATACATGTGTACAGCTCATAAACATTTTTAACCTAACATGCTTTTGTGAACTACTAAGTGATTAAATTTACAGTGTACATCTTAAACATATATATATATATATATATATATATATATATATATATATATATATATATATATATATATATATATATATAATTAATAAACAAAGGCGCCAATAAAAGATATGATGAATTTTGCAATTTTATGAAAGTTTATATATTCATAATTGATCTTTCTTTCTGTAGTTATTATTTGCTCTCCCTTCTGCTTGAAAAACTGCCTTAATGCAATCGGGCATGCTTTGAACTAAGCGTTCACAGCCTATTTGAAATTGAGCACACTACCCTACAGCAAAATTAAAATACAAAAAAAAAATGTTTTTTATCATAGTTTAAAGACCATCCTTGACTTCTACACTGGCGTATACAAATGTCAGTCAAACAACTTTAGACAGAACACATTTGTACTAACTGTGGGAAATGAAAAGGTTGGATTTGCTGAAGTTGATTTTGAAGACAGTGTGAAAAAGATGCCGTAAGTAATTAAATATCTTTATTGGACAAGAAAGATAACGATATGAATGTCAGTCGTGTTACCTTACAATCAAAGGCTTAATTTATCATATGAGTCAAGGTTCGATTACAGGAACATTAATTTATGTATTTCTGCCAAAATGTATTGATTTATAAATAAAAATACATGGACATATATCTAATGCAGTTGCAAAGAAAAGACAATAGTGTTTGTTAAATTCTTTAATCTTGTGTATATACGTAATATATCATATAATTTTTTTTTTAAATTTTAGGGATGTGAAAGATTTTGTAAAGACATTTGGAATAAAAGATATCTGCAAGTAATGTATATTTTATTATTCTCTTATTCTGATCAATTATAGATTGGACATCTTTCTGTCAGGTGATATAGCCAGACATTTTATTTGTAGTGTTTTTGTGATATAAATAGTTGATGAAGGCTATGTGGATAATATTTCTATAATAATAATATTTATTCCGTTATTTTATTCTTTCATTAAAGGCTTCTGCTGCTTAAAAGAGTAATTTTCTTTTCAATACCTCGTTCTGAAGCGTATCTACATTACTTAGCCGTAGAAGAAAAGTACAAAGGTCAAGGTTATGGCACAACTCTGCTAAAAAAGGTTGAGAAAGAAGCTGTATCAAGACAATGTAATGTAAGTAGATAATATTTATAGATGGATGATATTTATTGATAAGGCTTATAGTTAACAAGGTTTTATGTGGATATAATCTTGAAGTAGATATCTACGAGCTAATAAAGATTTTATTTATCGGTATTTAACCTTGTCTCTCTCTAAGAATCTAGTATACTTAAGTGCAAAAATGCAGACATAGAAACATAGCTAAAGATCATCTTGGCAGCAAATACAATCTATCATTATGTCGAATGCTGACTGGCGTTTTTCATACTTATTGTAAGGCCACTATTTACACATTGAATTGTTAGTGGATTTGTCCGTTTTCCGGGTCATGACAAGGAGCACACGGCGGTTGTGACCGGTCGGCAAGCGATGATTACTCCTCCATGGCACCTGATCCCACCTCTGATGTTTTATGGGCCCGTGTTTGCTATGCTCCCGATTTGTACTGTTCACCTGATCCCACTTCTGATGTTTTATGGGCCCGTGTTTGCTCTGCTCCCGATTTGTACTGGTTCAATGAACTTTTGAGCTTGATGATCGTTATCTCCATATTTCATTCTTGTTAAAAAGTTTCTTTTTTCTCAATATCTTATTGTATTTAGAAAATACTTTATTGTATTTAGAAAATATTTTTACTGACGTATCCATCAAATACACGGGCGATAAAATTTTACGAGCGACACGGATACAGAGCTGTTGGAAAGCCCCGTACAGGGTACGGTTTGTTGCCCCTCCTTACTAACACACCGGTAAGTATAAATCTTATTGTCAACTTCACCTTTAAACTGAACCGTGTTACATAAGTTCTTTGAAAATAAAAAAGCAAGCTTAGAACAGCAGCAAATACGGCAAATATGTGAATCAGTTCTGAGGTTCATCCTAGTAGCAAGGCTGTAGAGTAGCGCTGAGGAGCCTCTCTCCCCTCCTGTTCTCTTTCTGTCCTCTCATTTGGTGCCCTTTCTATTCCCTCCCACATCCTGTAGCCCTTTCCCATCATTTTGTCCCCTCACCCTTACCTGCCACAACTAATGTCAGTTAAGAAATCATCATATTTTTGTCTTATTTATTTAAATAAGGCGGTTTTAATACATGTATTTATTTACTGGCTTATATTGGGGGTTGGGTGGGTGAGTTGATGTTCGTGTTACCTTGTACGTTGACATGACGATTACTACATTATTTTCAGGCCGTAATTCGATATGAGAAGCAGTTGTCATTGCAGTGACTACATATTACCTACCTGCTGTCTAAAGCATAAACATATATGTTCATGTTTTTTTGATGCCTTAATACTTACCAACAAATAAGTATAGTGTACGGTAGGTAAAATGTTGGAACATTTTACCTGGCCATTATATATATATATATATATATATATATATATATATATATATATATATATATATATATATATATATATATATATATATATATATATATTACATAATATAAATGTATATTACATAATAGTACCATTTAAGATAAAAATATGTATTTAATTGAATGTGTATCTTTGTATGTTTTTTTTGACTAATGTGTTATGGAAGTATAGTCTGAAATTGTTCAACAATAAAGCAAAATGAATAAAATAAGTATGCATGTATATATATATATATATATATATATATATATATATATATATATATATATATATATATATATATATATATATAGTTGGGTTTTTAGTGCTTTCTATATATATAGAAACATAAAATTAACTCTGTAAATGTCTCTTAACATTGTGAAAAACAAATAAAAGTTTACTTTATGTCTTATTGTAAATTTTATTTTGAACAGCAATTCAGTAAATTAAATATATATAAAATATTGAAGAACTGATTTTATAAGAAAGCTTGTTTTTATAAATCCATTTTACAGTAAGGCAAAGCAGCGAAAAGAAATTTCTTGAATAGGAAAAAAAATGAAATATAATCTGCTGACAATAAGAATTTATCACAATAAGTCACTTATTCTCAGAATAATGTTTCATATTACGGAGTACTCATTCAAACTTCTTTAGTAATATACATGTCTATGTTTTTTGTAAGTGTATTGGTTAGTATATATGTAAATTAAAAAAAAATTACTTTCGAAATACAACCACGAGACTTAAGGGTACCGACAATCCGATTTTTGACTGAAACTTATCAAATTTCCATTTTGATTGCAGGAAGTTACAGAATCTTGACCAGTTACAGAACTTTTCTTTGTATTTTCCCAGGGTACACATTTTTCTAATTGAAATTTGTCCACGTCCTTTGAGGGACAAGACTGAAAACTTATTTTCCTTTAACTTCTCTGGTGCGAGTATACTAAGTCAGGACGTATTTCAAATTCTTGAAGAAAGGGTTTGAAAGGAGATTGTATCCTAAATGGCAAATTTTCGTTCTGAAAACAGATAAACTAGACATGTATATATCTTTTAATTAGAAGCAAATTATCGTTTAGATTGCGTTTACGTGTTTCTTCCACTAGTTGATCCAGGGCATTTAAATTTATGTACATGCACGAATAGTTACGTACTCTTTCACCAGTATGTAATATAGTGAACAGACTAAATGAATTCTTAAGAGAAGATGTAGAATAGTTTGGGCAAGAGATAATTCAGATGTTTTATAGTAAGTCCGGTAAAATATCTTTATTTCATAATTTTTCTTTCATTTTCTGATTTCTTTCCTAAATCAGAATAGCTTACACTAGAACATCTGCAATTACGAGGAAGAAATCAGAATACGTAAATTACTTGTGACAAAAAGAAAAAGTCAGACTGGCCTAGCTCTTTTTATCCTCTGCTCTCTCAGCTACTGAGTTCTGCCTTTGGCGTCTAATAAAGTTTAGACATTAAAAAAATGGTTTATTGAAAAATAAGCCTAAGTATTTTTACATGCGTTTGTCCTTCTAAATTTGAATTTCGATAGTGGCGCACGTGAGGAAAACATAATCTTACTCCAATAATCACTATATCGAAACAGTGATCGGGTCCGGTCTATGTCTTATTTGACTGTATTCTGTATTACGTGTGCAGTGAAGGTAAGCGATATATATAATTTTGAAGAAAAGGTGTAGATCGAGTTGATAGAGTTATGCACTTCCTCAAAGGTAGGTGGAAAGTAATTACATCATAGGTGATAATATCGTAAACAATCTTTAGATATAACCGTAATTTGGGATATTGCCTTAACAGTGTTGTAATGTTACAAAGTGAAAGGAAAGATAGTTTTGTAAAGTTTGAAAGTGAAAGTTTGAATATGATCATAACAATGGTGTGAAATTACCAGGCTTGTCCTCAATAATGTTTTAAAGTTTTACTTTGAATTTTTTTTTAGAATGATAAAACTGTAATTTTAAGTTAAATATTGAAAGTTTTAAAGGACTGCAAACATGTTTAAAAGGTATAAAGTAAATATTCGAAGGTGATCTTAACAATGTCGTGAAGATTTAAGCTAATATTTCCCGCAAAAATATATCAACGATATTTTTTTTATTAAGAAATATCATTCTTTCTACATGTATATATGTATACGTGGTTTAGCAGTATTCGAAATCATGCATATTAGGCATAGGGAATCCTTAGAGCAAGCACTTCCTAATTATTTCATTTACGTCCGCAGATATTTAATGAGTTATCTCATATCAATTGTTGAATACAAATAAAAACATGGACTACAATATAAGAAACATGAAGGATGACCCGGATGACTGTGAATTTGTGGGACGAATGTTGTACGAAGCTGTTACTGGAGAGTTTGACACGCTTTTCCCTGGAAGCAGGTTAATTTATAAGAACTGGAATTGTCTGCAAATTGAGGCATTGATCATTATATACAAAAATACTTACATGGCTAACCAAATTTATTTGAAAGCATATACACTTAAATAGAAATGGTAACATTCGAAAAAAAGGTCTCTCATCTTAAGTTAGCAAGCATTTGACAGTCTTAATATATTTTCTTGTAACATACGATAGTTTGAATAAGATTTTCTTTTATTTTAACAGTTTAAAGACAATTCTACAGTTTGCAACAAAGTGTTATACACATCAACCCAAAGAATTTTATAAGAATGTTTTTCTTCTGAGCTCTGAGAAAGAGAAGATTGGATTCGTAGAAATGGCTTTTCATGACACGGTGAAAAACCAAATGTGCGTTATCATAAATATCTCGTATCAAAGAATATCTAATTGCACAGTGGTAAGAAAGCAAACGGGTAAACAGTTGACTTTGCAGTTTACTCCACATCCATCAATCAAGTCCGTAGGAACTAGGAGAATCGAGGGGGGGGGGAGGGGGGTATCATGGTATAGCAAATTCATGCTTATTAGGGGGGCCTGTCCGTCTGTCCATCCATTTCATTTTTCCAGCGCATAATTACTATTACCTCTTGGCCAAGTCGGCCTCAAACTTCATTCATACAGTGCCCTTCGTTAGAAGGGGTGCAGTGACCTTCAACCAAATTTCAGGATTTATGGTCACGGTCGAAAACCTCTATGTGTAAAATCCTTGTCCGGAGCATATTTTCTTTCCCCCTTGTAAAGTTAGGCTCTAACCTCACTCATAGAGTGCACGGTGGTAAAGGGCATGCAGCGTCCTTGAATCAAATTTCTAGGTGAGTCAGATTGATCAGAGTTATGGCAGTTCTTTCTAAAATTCTTTTCGTGGGCATTTTTTTTACCCCATTTGGCTCAAACTTCACCCAAAGAGTGCCCTTGCATAAAGTGTATGCAGTGTTTAAACCAACTGAATGATCAAGACTTTTTTTGTAAACTCCTTGTAGGGGGGGTTATTCAATATTCTCTCCCTTTAATCCAATTCCATAAAATTTTACTTTTTTTAATTTTGTTTTGCTTGTCAAGGAATTTCTGCTGTATAGTTGTGACGAAAGTTGACGATGGAAAAGCTGGTCATCAAGTTTATCAATTTAGTTGTTAGTTGGCCCTTATCGTCTATTGCTAGTAAAACATCCAAATATGAAAAAAAAGTGGCATACTCTGTAGTGTCTTTTATTTCAAGTTTACTGGGATATATCGAGTTGACATATGAATGGAAGTAACTATTGTTAATTGATAATATGTCGCCGATATATCTAAATGTTGAGTTGAAGGCCACAGCAAGTGTTTTCTTCTTCTTATGTAGAAGTTTTTGAATAAATTCTGCTTCATAGGAATATAAAAACAGGTGGGCTAATAAAGGAGCACAGTTAGTGCCCATCGAAATTCCAACAGTTTGTTGGAAGACCTGGTCTCCGAAGACTATGTAAATGTTGTCAATGAGGAACTCCTGCATCCTTTTAATATCAACTTCAGAATACTTGTGTGTAGAATCACAGTGTTTTTTAACAAAGTTTGTTGATGACCAATCACAAGATACGAAAATTCCATTGCTATTGAAGAAGCTATTGTCTATGATATCAAAATACCTAGTTTTTAATTTATCGCGAGAACTGGTTGTATAACTGTAGAAATGTTGTGTTTTGATGTCACTGATTTTTGAAAAAATTGGCGATTTTAAATCTTTCTAAAAGTTCTTTGAAGTTCTTGGAAATCAACATCTGATTTACGCCACTTCAGAATATACTGTAGCACAGTACGTCTAAAGTTTCTCCATTACAGCAACTAATACTTTTGTAGAAGTAAAGATAGTGGCTTGGTTGAGCATTTGCTGGACCCGTCAATGTATCTTTGTAAGGATTTTTATGAAATTTCGGAATCCAGTATAGGTAGGGTAGATCGAATTCACCTTGGTTGACTAGAATTTTAAAAGTATTACACACTGAAATGTGATTTTGACGTATTTCATCTAATTCAACAAAATGATGAAGCTTACTTTTAAATCTCAGCCGTTTTACTATGAGACATCCATTCAAAACTACACTTTGTCTAAATTTTGAAATAAATTTTACTCTCCACTGATGATTCAAATCGTATACCATGTCTTTTATTTAATTACAGAAAATTTTTATGCATATATATTGTATATATATAAATTACAGAAAATTTTTATGCATATATATATATATATATATATATATATATATATATATATATATATATATATATATATATATATATATATGGCTTCTGTTGCTTTTGTCTTAGGTCAAAAATGGATCTTATAAGGACATTTGGAGTGAGAGACAGTTGTAGGTAAAAAGTGATTTATGTTTCCAATCAGTGAAATAATTATCAATATTTGTTTTCTTACCAGAAGAACGACCTCTTATAATTTTAATGGAATGTTCTGTTCAATTTCGAGCTAACAGAAGATTAAGATTTGAGTGAAACTGAAGCAAAATTCAAGGAAATTTAATATACCATACATGGCAAAATATTGTTGAATATGGAAAAAAATCATAAAAGGAAAAAAAAAATTACTTTAATATCGATTTCTTTTGCTTTGTTTTGTTTTATCGTTATGACATCATATTTTGAAAATTTGATCACTGTTAATTTTTATTTACAAAAGGTACCTTTTGAGTAGACTGTTCTTCGTATTTCCGATTGTACCGTCTACTGCTTATATCGACAACTTGGCAGTAGAGGCAAAATTCAGAGGTCAAGGATATGGAAGGGCGCTTTTGAAGAGGGCTGAGGAGGAGGCCGTGGCTAGACGGTGTAATGTAAATTGAATTCCCCCTTTTATATTTAAAATGAGAACCAAAATGGAGGTTAAAAGTAACCTAGAACTTTTGAGTCAACTTAGAGCTGAACATGACTCGAAAATGGGCATACGCCATATTAGTTTACCTATCCCTGATATCAGACCTGGGGTATTCGCATTCGTTACACCCGACTGCTTTCTTGTTACGGGTGCCTGCGTGGAATGGACGACACGTTTTTCGTGTTGGTAATCTTACATTACCTTTCTTTACATTTTATTAAGTATACGTGTATTTGTGTTTGAACTGCCCTGACCTGTGTAACTAAAGTATGTTTCTTTGTAACTTTCTCTTCTGTCGTAGAAGAAGCACACAGTTACTTTTGTCGCCACCGAGAGATTTAAAATAGCTATGTAGAATACGTCCGTCCACACCGGTGAAAACTGATTACACTGAATCGAGACCAAGTGAACGACTCATATAAGGCTGTACAGCTAACAAAATGCATAGTAATATGGCTGACAAACATAGATCTCTGTCTTTTACGAATCATGTTCAGCTCTTAGCATAGAAGAAACAAAATTGTTAGCAAATTATAAAGCTAGCCAAAACTTAATTGTGGACTTCTTATATATGAAAAATATATGAATAAAAAATTCGAATGATTTTTCTGGTTAGAGAGTTATCTAAATAATTTACTTTCCTTTTGTTTTAGAAGATATATTGTCTTGTTTTCTCAACAAACACAGACGGTATGAAGTTTTATGAGAAAAACGGCTATAAGGCTGTTGGAAAACCCCGAACCTTTTACGGATTTTTATATTTAGTTATCAAAATTCCGGTAAGAACTATGTATTTATATTTACTTTGAAGAAAACAAATGCAAAAATGAGACCTACTTCTGAGTTTTTCCCCTTAAATTTAAAAGCAATAACTGGATTCTCAATTTTTTTTGGTCAACATGGCATGTCACGCAAGAATAAGCTTCGTTGAATTAAAGCAGATATTAATTGTTCCCCGCTTTCACTGAAAGTGGGGGATATTAATTTGAGTCTGTTCGCCCGTCCTTCTAGCTGTATGCCATTCTGTATGTAACACTTTCGTTTCCGGACGATATCTCAAGAAGCCTTTGACCTTTTGCAATCAAATCTTACACCACAACTCCTTACGGCCAAAAAAAAGACCCCCCCCCCCAATAATTTTGAGGTCAAAGTGTCAAAGGTCAAGGTCATAAATTCATACATTCTGTTTGTGTATAATACTTTCGTTTCCAGACGTCATCTCAAGAAGCCTTTAACCTTTTGCAATGGAATTTTGTACAACTCCCTATGGCCTAAAAAAAGACCCCTGCTGATTTAGAGGTCAAAGGTCAAGGTAAAATTCATACATTACAACTGATATTTTTCCAGATGATAACTTTAGTTTTCTTTTAGCTTTCTTCAATAACATTTAATAACACAACTCCCTGTGGCCTAAAAAAGAACTATCAATTTTGAGGTGTAAAGGTCAGAGGTCAAGGTCATAAATTTGTACATTCTGTCTGTATAACACATTTTTTTTCCAAATTATAAAACTTAAAAAGCCTTTGGAATTCTGCAATGATTTTTTTATCACAGCTCCCCGTGGCCTTAAAAAGACCATATTGATTTTAAAGGTCAAGGGTTCATAGGCCAAGGTCAGACATGTATATTTCATATATATAGTTTACAGATAATGATTTTTTTTCTGTAAGCTTTTGCAATGAAACTTTTGGTCATGAATTTCTTTTAAGTTTAAAAAGACTCCTATTGACTTTTAGGCCAAAAGCTGAAAGGCCAGAGTTTTTTTCTTTCTCCATCTGCAAAATTTTCCCACTTCTTTCACCCTCTTCTTTTTTCTCCTTAAGCGTTGGACACAAATTCTCTGAACTAGCCTGTACATATTTTACTTAAGACTGAATAAGACTCTTAAAACATTTCTTTTAATTGATGTTGATTAACATTTTCTATCAATTATTCATAATTTCAAATTTATTTAAAGGCTTTGACGACATATGAGAAACTCCTGAATGTTCCATGAATCCACTGGTATATTCTAACGAAAAAGTCAATATTTTAATTAAAATGAAGACAAGAAGTCAATGAATCTCGTTTTTATTGATTTGAAGGACATGAGTGCATTTTTAAATTGTGAAGTGGCATGGTACGAAATTCTACAGAAAAAGAGTGACTATCAAGCTATTGGTAAACCAAAAATCTAATAGAAAATTTATTGAACTACCAATTTCTGTAAAAAAAAAAAAACAACAACAAAAACAAGAGGCCCTAGGGCCTTAATGGTCACCTGAGTATAATACAACAATTTAGAGGATCCACAGAGTATAAAATGAACTGAAAGGTGAAGCTTTGTTGCCCAAAAGCAAGAAAAATAGGGTGATCAGAATCAACAATATTATTAGTCTAGTATTCATTAACAGTTCATAAATTAAGTTCTGATCTGTTCCCCATTTATCACTCTCACCAGACAGTATGTAAACAAACTTTCAGTTCTTCTGCACTCTTTTAATTCCTTGTTGAAATCTCTTACATTGGCCTCTCTTGGTCTTTGATGAACATTTAATAAGAAAGTTATTTTTGTCTCATTTTTATTTATCTATTATTTACAAGTCTACCTGATCATTGAAACTATGAAAGTACTTTTTGTATTATACAATAAAAATTCTTGCATAATTCTCTTATTCTATTAACCTTCCAAGTACATTATTTACAGTGATTAATTATCACAAGTAAATGGCAAAGGGGAATAACTCCTCTCAGTAGAATACAAATAAATAGAGCCCTGGCCTGGACCAGAACACTTCACCAAATGGTCCTGATGTTCAAAAATCTGCTAAAAATACCCTTCCTTATTAAAACTTTTACTCTTTTTGCCTCTGATATGCCCAGGTGCAGCGAAATTTTTAAAGCATTAATGCATTTTCACTCTATAATAAATAGAGCCCCGCCCTAACTTCAGAACCTCTGATCCAGGGATCATGAAATTCACAATTTTGGAAGAGGCATCCTTGCTTATCATAACTATGCATTTGTTTAAATAATACCCAGGAGTAGAGAAGAAGATTTTCAAAGAAATAATGAACTTTCATTATATGATCTATATAGACCCGCCCTAGCACAAGAACCCCTGACCCTGGGACTATGAATTTCACAATTTTTGTAGAGTCACTCTTGCTTATCATAACTATGTATTCAATTTGTTTAAATAATACCCAGTAGTAGAGAAGAAGATTTTCAAAGAAATAATGCACTTTCACTGTATGATCTATATAGCCCCGCCCTAGCACAAGAACCCCTGACCCTGGGGCCATGAATTTCATAATTTTGGTAGAGTCATCCTTGCTTATCATAACTATGTATTCAATTTGTTTCAATAATACCCAGTAGTAGAGAAGAAGATTTTCAAAGAAATAATGCACTTTCACTGTGTGATCTATATAGCCCCATCCTAGCACCAGAACCCCTGACCCTGGGGCCATGAATTTCACAATTTTGGTGGAGGGCTCAATGCTCATTACAATCATGCCAACAGTTTGACTGCTTGATGTCCGGGAGTAAAGAAGAAGATTTTTAAAGATTGCATTAATTTTGAAGGTTTTGGCCCCACCCCTCAGGCCCCAGGGGGGCAGGGGCCACAAATTTCACAATTTGTGTTCCCCTTCACCCATAGATGCTATATGCCAAAATTGGTTGAAATTGGTTTGCTGGTTCCAGAGAAGAAGCTGAAAATGTTCAAAAGTTTACGACCGACGGACGACGCACGACGACGGACGAAAAGAGATAGTAATAGGTCACCTGAGTGACTCAGGTGACCTAAAAAAAGACAAAACAAAACAAAGAAGACATATTGAAAGGTCTTGAAAATGCATTCATTTTCTATTTTCCCCCTTAAATTTACAAAAATAAAATGCTCAATGTTTCTAAATTTTTTATGTTCCTCATAGAATTTCTTATGAAAATCTCGACAATATAATTCAAATGTCATTGCTTATTTTAAGGCTGAAAGACTCGTTTTAAAGACAAACTACTCTTATCACGATTTCAATTGATTGCAACTTTATATTGATGTTATTATAATTTTTTATATTCATTACATAAAGCTATTGAAAACACATGAGAAACTAATGCTCCATGAAGTCACAGTACACTGGTGCAATGAATATCCCCGAGAAAAAATTAAAATTGAATCATATGGTTTGATAGCATTTTATTAGATGTACCTCTCTGAATATTTGGTCATCATAACGCATCAGTTTAACCTCTTGTTACACTTTTATGACCACACACAGACAACTTTTATGTCAATTTATCAAAACAATCTTATTCTGTAGCTCACTGACAAATTTTATATTCTATCTATTTTAAAGAAATACTCATTTCTTATTAAAACATTTCATTGTTGAAATAGTTCCATCTTCATCCAAGTGGTCTTCTAATACTGTTAAACAGAAACAAAAATAAAATACTTGTAGCTGGGTCAAAATTTTATTTAACAATAAAAAAAGATAATGAAAGTATTCAAAATACCTGTCTGAGATCCAAGAAGAACGTGGCATTCTGTTGGTGTCATGTTCTCATCCATTCTTCCATCATATTTTTGATTATACCAAAGTGTGACGCTTCCCTAAAAAGCAATTTCTCCAAGTTATTTAAAGTTCAGAAGGTCGAACGGATTCTAAATATATATATTATATAGGCCTACCATGTTTAGCTGACCTACACAATATTCAATGTTATCAAATCTGTTGAACAAGATGAGGCATGAAATTCTTTCCCAGTTCAATTAAAAGATTTTTCATTTTTATTTCTTCTTTATTTTAAGTAAATCAGCTTTATTTTTTTAATTTTTTTAAAAAATCTTGCTGTCGTTCTCATGAAGTGTCAATTTCAAGTCGTGAGTATGATATGCGGTACAGTGAAAAGGAAGGAACCAATTACATATGTGGCACTAATTGCGAGAAACAGAATTCAAATTACTCGAAAAGTTTTTTTTGCGTAAGCTGTGAAAAGACAATAATTCCTGATTACCTTGATGAAAGGGACTCGCGTCTTCTTTGAAGTAAAAACCATAGATCCGCCGTATTTTGGTTCACTTAGCTAAGAGAAGGAAATAAAACATGGCCATCATTACGTCAAACTATTATAGAATTGTGTACAGTATTTGTTTTATTTTGGTTAGGAATACGTACGACAAAGTTCCATGTGGCAATTCTTCTACTATCGATGTTGTACATTGTCTGAAAGGAGAAAGTAGATAAATTTTATGCTTTCATATATGAAGTGGAACTTTTATACAATAAAAGGGAAATAAGAAAAGTGGAATTATTTAATATTTCAAATTTCATATATCAGTGATACAAACCTCTTCTGACTGTATTGGTAACCGAGTTATCAAACGCATTCTTTTCCTTAGCGTCCTCCTTAAGTATTGATCAATGTCGTTTGTGGTATATCTGATGAAATAGAAACAAAACATATTTGCTTTATACATGAACAGTAATTATATTTATCAGTGCTTGTCGAGTACGGAAATTGAGTAAAATTTACACATGCAAATTAAAGTTGTTGAATTATGTAATCTTTTAATATAATAACTGTAAAGTCTTACTTACCTATAGCTATTTATTGCTGTTATTTTGACGGAATTTCGTTTATACTTAATTGTTGCCTGCTAAAAACAAAAGAAATTACTTTCTTTAAATTTAGAATAAACGATGGGAGATCTACTCAATAGTTACGTATACTCCATTTAACTAAAGTTTATTTTGATATGAACATGGTACAAAAAGTCATAATAAATTACCTATATAGTTTCTTAAAATTAAAAATTAAATCCAGCTATTTTTACCCTTAATGCTGTGCTATTTCTAATCATTTTGATTTCATTTTCAGCCAGAACGTCGTATAATACGGAAATCCTAGGTCTGATATGAAAAATTTCCTCCTTTGAAAATAAATAGGGAATATCTGATGCTTTCAAGATACATCTTAACTTTGCCTCTTCTTTAGCCGACTGAAAATACAAACATTGCTTACAATTATTGATATGCTAAGTATAACCAAAAAATCACCGTGCTTGGAAAAAGTCTGAACTTCGGGTTTCTTACCTTCAGGGAATTTCGACATAGCTGTACAAATTTTGACTTTTTGCCCTTGGTGTCGAGTGTAGAACTCCAATCTTCCAATGGTATCCCATTTAGTCGCATTGCGTAGAATTCAAAGTCTCTTTTTAGAAGTCGATTATTTTCTTCTGTAACATGAAACAAAAAAAGATAAAGCGAGTCATAAAGTATTAATTACATTCCCAAGATGTTGATTTTCAGCATAAAATCAGCAAGATTTTTTTTAAAAAAAAAAGATAATTACCTTTTGTCATTAGCTGTTTTAAAACTTCAATCGCTTTTTGGGGCATTCCAATCTGGCAAAATACATACAGATACAGTTGTTACAGAATTTGTTAAATTCTGTGTAAGATATAGATATTTCAGAAACCAAAGACAATGACGGAAGAAATATCCCTATTCATAAGATTCAAGTATACCTTGTTGTATACACCCGCTAGTCCTCTGCCTACTGTAATCTCATTGATGCTAGAATCGGGATATTTGTTCTCTGAAAACCTACGGTAAAGTTCTTCAAACCATGCTAAAGCAGCACGCATCATGTCTTCCTTGTCCGCCATTGAAGCAATAAAATAAAGTTCTTCGACAGAAAGAGGAACCGTTGTGTAGCCGTTCATTTTCCCATCAAATAAGTCTTTTGTGTCTAGGTCAAACATGTCATAAAGCTTTAGAATATTAATAGCTGAACTCTGTAGATCCCTTTCATTGACCCAACCACCCACCTTTCTTTCCACGATTCCGAGTGTAATGTTGAAATCTGGAGATGGATATAGTTAAGGTATATTTTATATATTATAATTCTGAGATAGTCAGAAGAACGTACTTTTTTCAAAGACACAAAACTTTACTTCAATGAACTTTTCAGATATCCTTTTTCTCGACTGACCTTGAGATGCAGGCGTTGTTTCACAATCGTCACACCAAATTAGACGAAATATCTTATTCCAGTCATGGTAAATTCTATACAAAATGTGGAAAGTATTCAAAGGGTTCTCCGAGAACTTATCACTTAGTAACTGCTGTTCATCCTCTGCTTTCGTAAGAAGACTGTAAAAATGTACCATGTGACCACAGGTAGTATATGATGTCAACATTTGGAGAATAAAGTACTGATTGAGGATTTTTATAAATGAAAAGTCCATAAGATTAAGAGATGTTGCGCTAAACACATTAAGACAGATAAATACTCCAAACAAACAAGTTTGGAGTAAACTATGTACTGTAAACCAACTTTTATTCGCGTTCGAGAAATATCCGCGAGTTTCGCAATTTTGATTTGCTCGGGAATATTTCTCGCTGTGAACTATTTATTTTACAGTGTATTTATGTATATAAGTCGTCGCGGATAGATTTCATACTAATGCATCACGAATAAAAGTTGCAAATTGTAGCAAGAGTCGGTTTAACAAAACAGAACATCGGCGCATGTTTCTTACCCTTTCTTTCAAATCCCTCGTTTTCTATTTTCACGTCAATATTAACGACTAATCTGTTTCTTAAACTTGTTTAACAAAAGAATCATTGCATCGAATACAAATTAGCGTCACCTAAACCATAAAATAGATTAAATTTATCTCGTACATGATTTTTAATTGTTTGAATAAAACGCTCATCGAGTACATCCTGTCAGTTTTCGAAACAACTTGTACACTTGTATATAGCTATATAATTCTACAAAGATAAATGTATTTCATTTGTATTGTCACCTTATCTAACATACATGTTTTTCTTTTGCTTTTGTTTAAAACAATATGCTAGTAAATCATTTGCCATTCTTGCCATATTTTTCCCACTTTTGTACTAGAAACAAATACTAATTCTTGACTTCTACCGCAAGCATTAAATAATAAAATGATTTACCTTATAATGTCTTTAGGTACAAAACCAGCAGTTGCTTCTGTGGCATCTATATATCTGTTTAGTCCTTTTATCAACCTTCTTTCTTCTTCTCTTAGCACGTTTATTTGACATACGGAAGTAAATAATCCAGAATTGGTGGAAATTAATTTACAAAAGAAAAATAATGAAAAGAAACACCAACGTGATATAAAACCCATTTCTACTTGTCTATCTTGTTATGTCTTAAACGTACTACACAGAGTAAGAGAAATCATTGATAAATCGATCTGGTACACGTGTAGAATACGGTGGCACATTGGACGAATCAATTTACTTAAAACAGCAACCAACACGTCGGAGATGCAAGGTCGTTCTCATCAGCTGTTACACAAATTGCACATCCTTTCTTTATTATGTTTACGAGTCAATTTTTAATTTCTTATTTTTCAATGTATGTGACAAAAATGCACATTGACATTAAGCTGGATTAAACATTGACAGTTTAAAATACACAAAGAAGTTTTAAAGACATATAATACATGCATTTTACAGTTTTTAATGAAGTTCGGGAGGAATTTCAGTAAAAAGCTCCGTCATATTTAGTCGGACAAATTGCCTACAAAGAAAATATCCACAAAATTTGAAAATTTTCCTTTTTAAATCTGAATTGAAAATGAAATTCAATAAAAAGATCATAGTGAAAGACAAATCTATTATCATATTGTAGATTCTACCTTTCATAGGCATACGCTGGACCACTTTCATAAGAAGCTTTGGCATTCGATAAATAAGCCAAATTCTTAGTTAGGTCATAAATGGCGACTTGCAGATCCCCGGATTGGACAATGGAGACAACGTCCCTGATAGTGTTCTCAACAGTGATGTTGCCGTGGTACTTTTGGAGCTGATTTCCAAGAACTTCATTAAATGCGGGACAGTCCCAGTCCATTCCTACATTTCATTATATTAGTATCATGCATCCAAAACTTGCAATTAACCGTGTAAAAACTATACACCCGTGATAGAGTTAAGATGACAGAGGATTACACTTGAAAAAATAACATGATCTAAAATTTTTAAAAAATCAAAGAAATAATTTTAAATTTTAAAGATCTATGTACTGTCACATACCCCAGTAGACGACATTTTGTATTTTTGGATGCCATTTTTCTGCTGGTCTCATATTGAGATCATCGAAGAGGTCTGCTACAGAGGCCGAATATTCAATACCCCGAAATTGTCCGATCTGCCACGAACATTAGATAACAGTAATGAAACAGTATCAATTAGACTTCAAGAAAATCTGTCGAAAAGGCAAGAGTTTGCAGTGAAAAAATTGAAATAGAGTGCAATTTGATGTTAAACCTTTGCGTCTCCTACTCCAAGAATTAGATTACAAGTTCTCGGGGAGTTGGCTATGCGGTTAATAGAGTCGTCTAGTGTTTTATCAAACTGAAGAATATCTCGAAGAAGGAACTGAAAGTACAAAATCATTTAGTGAAATTGAACGAATCATTACATAAAACATAAATGTGAACTCAGCTCTTTATTCACATGATTTTTTTTCAGTTTTACTGAAAATCTAAATGGCAACATTTGTTCTATTTATCGAAAACTGTTTAAAATTTACTATATAATAAAACTGACTGATACAGTGTATAAACTTAACTGTAAATGGAGTTCCAAATCTTGATTCAGAGCCAAACGTCGAGTCCGGAAAAGATACACCAATCTCTGATATTGCCATCTTCTGTGAACTCATTCCTGATTTTAAGACGTTCCATTTTAAATACTTAATAATTCATAATTTGATAAAATCATCAATCATTTCATTGATACTCTGTAAGTGAGGTTTTAAAAATGTAAATTCAAATGCACGTTGTAGAAAATTTATATGGTTAAAATGCACACTCCATGATTTGGTAAACACATATTTATAAATAATCAGCAGATATAATTATATCCATAAACGAATAACCTGTAATTGATCCAAACCAACCGGTCCACCCGAAATTAGCAAAAGCATGTCCGTCCTTTGGGTAAGCGGGATGGTATACAGTCACCTGTGGGTAATCCTTAAAGGGCCCTTCAAATGAAACAGATGGTCAATACATTCCTTATTATAACAGATTGAGAATTGATAAGCATATAAACAATGCGAGTAGAAGACGTTACCATCAACACTCCAGTCCAGAGCCCTGAGTTGAAGGAGAGAACCTTTTACTGGCACAGCACTACCCCAGGCACCAAACATTGAACAGCTTCCTTTTCTGGTAGAAGAAAATAATTGTTAGATTTATTAAAACATAATCATAAAATGTAAATTAATGCACTAGCTTTTATTAAGTACTCCAGTAACTAGTAAAGATGATTGAAATGTTATGAACAAAGATTCAATTAAGTTGAAAGAATTAAATCAATTGTTTAGGTGGATAGTGGATTCTTTTCTTCTTCCCCCTTCTTCCACTTTACATTTCTCTCCATTTCTTCTCCATTCCTCTCCCATACCCCTTTCTTCCATCTTTCATTCACAATGTGACCCCTTAACTGTTACATATTCTTACGTTAGTTCCCCTATCATGTGAATGCGAAGAAGTTTCTGAAAACGAAAGGAAAATATAAAGATAACTTAATACCATGATAGATAATCGCCTTTCAAATCATCAAGTTAATGCAATTATTATAAAGAAATATCCTTTACTTGTAAGTCAATGCCACATCCATCGGCGATCCCCTGAGCTTCTTCAAAGAAGTAAGATCCAGAATATTTTCTTGTTATGTCAAGTTCTAAATCCAGTGCTTTTTCCAAGCTGTAATTAATTGTTTAATGAGTATTACCGGTATATCATTATATCCATATACAATGTGAGAAAAATTATTATTAATCATCAATTTAGGTAAATCCTACCCAAAATCTGCAATGTCTTTCAAGAACCATGGTTTGAAAATGTGGACAGTTCCATTGATTGCTTCTATCTGAAACACAGTACATACACTGAGAGATATTTCTTCATACTTGATGACCAAACAAAATATATACGAGAAAATATATAATGATGTGGAAAATCTCCGAAACTATGCTTATTCTTATACAACTTTTTATGTCAAGCTACTACAACATAAAACAGCTGTATACCACTTGATCTTCGAGATACTCCCAAACGGCGTCCATCATTTTAACTGCCTTATCACCAAGTAACTGTCCCTGGGCCTTACCCCAGTCATAAGGCTTGCCTGAAAATATAGGTAAGCTAAGTGCAAGTTACAGAGTTTGTAGATCTCTTTATTCTGTTACATGTAACTGAAGACTTTGTAGTGTTCCAATTCTATCTCCAAAATGTTTTATTTATTGAAAGTGTTTAAGCGGAACACATGATGACCAAATACCAGTAACAATTTCTGTTATAGTAAGCGATTTAGAATGTTTAGAATCAATTCAATGAAGAAAGTATTCAAACGAGATGCATCTGATACTCGAATGCATATTAATTAGTTAAAAGTGTTTTAAAGGATTACTTGTGATGTTTCAGAGACTAATAAATGAGAAGGACTAACCCCAGACATGTACAATGTCGAAGGCGTCTTCACCAGACCCAACAGTAAAGAGCTTGCCATTCACTACAGACTTAACATATCTTGGAGGTTCCGTATAAATTTGGTTTAAGTTTTGTTTGGCATTTTTACTTGGCTGTAAACACAAAGAAAAATATGTTGACAACTTTTTCTTCTACCGATTGCCAAGAATAGAGCTCATAATTGTGAAAAGAATGCTACAAAGTTTACTTTTCACTTATATAATTTTTTGTGGAATCATATCTGAAACTTTTATATGTCTTCATCAAATACATAGAATTCAAATTCTGGTGCTTTAGTCCATTTCATTAACTTACTGATCCGTGACAGAATGCTGCTTTCGTGACGTGAGGAACCAGGACGAGAATAGCCAATGTCCACAGAGACACCATTATGCACACTAGTACAAATGTATGTGGATTGATATACACCAAGTATGAGTGTGTGTATATATGGCTTTATCAAATATCACGGTCTTATCTCTTCTTGAAGAAAATTCAGTATGACAACATTTCTCTTCGGTACAATTGTTCCGTTGTTTTCATTCGTTACAAGATTCAATTGAGGATATAAGACAGTTAATTGAAAAAATAAATTATGAGTGCATAATTTATTACTTTAACATGAGGTCTGAACAAGAAAAGAAAATAATAGCACTGTCATTATAAATTTATGAAATAATTTTTGGTCGAAAACATGGAAAGAGAATAGGATTCTTATTTGATTTCTTAATCTCATTTAATTTTCTTTTCTTATTCAATTTTTCTTCCTATTATAAGCTATGATTTACATACAATATCATGTTTATTAAGGGAGCGAAATTTTATAACACAAATACATCAATATATTATAATATATTGTAGCGGATATAAAAATATTAAATATGGGTTTACTTTATTCAAGTCGTATAGTCTTTTAGACACGTAGATTGTACTTAAGAAGCTTACCTTAAAAAAAAAAATTCACGCCGGTGTAATTACTATAATAATTAAATTTTACTTGTTACTTGATTTACTTGCAATTGGTGTGCTGTAATAAACTGTCAAAAAGAATCTTGGTTTGTTGTGAATGTAAAATGTACATAGTACCTGCCCATAATTTAGTGAGTCATAATTTTTTCCACTATATATTTCTTTGAAAAATACATTTTTCTGAAATATGATTTCAGTGTTATTTGTTGCTCATTTTTTTGTGACTTAAACATAAAATGTAGAATTCTTTGCAGTTTCCTCACATTTCAATTTTATCTGAAGGCATTGCAGTGATATCACAGGTCAACATGGTCAAATGTAAAATAAAAAAATTACGACTCTAAATCACAGTACTTTGAGGTTAGAATTTTTAGTCTTGACGATTTCATAAATTATTTTCAATGACTAGTGTATCATTTTATTTAGCATTTTAAAGCAAGAAAATTTGAACAATTCTGCATGATTCAATGAGAAAATCAAGAAAACTGAACTAAATTGACCTCACAATACGTTTTTATAAAAATTAATATTGGTTTTTCAATGAAGTATAAAGTGTAAAAATGCAATTATGACTCACTTATGACCATATACTGTACATTATATCGATTAGGGGCTTAAAGTTTTAACATATTTCATAGATCAAACACACAAGTCATAATTAATTTTATATTTTATTTTTAAAAAATGGGATAGATAAAACAACCCAGATCTATTTCTGATATTTTAATTCCCCTTTTCTTCATAAATAATTCATTGTTGGTGATATATACTATCTCAATTTTTTTTAATGGTAAAAGTAACTTTGAAATGAACTAGCCCAAACAATACAAAATTATACCTAATATGATAATACCTAACAAATATCATACATCTCAACTTATCACAGTCAAAGTACAAGATACATAAAAATTAGGAGTCAAAATAGACTGGAACTCTCACTTAATATTGTTATACACATGTATGTAATAATGTAAAAAGTTGTAAATAAATTAAATACAAATTTAATTACACAGACAATGAATGTGTAGATTATTCCTAATAAACAAAAATAAATCTATTCATAAAAATGAAAATAATAATTATTAGAATGAATAGAAATTTCTCTTAAAAAACATATTTATTCAAACCCAAAAGATTGGTGGTTTCTGTTTTAAATATTAAGTACTAGGAATACATAAACACATTCCCTCTCTGAATTTCATCATTTTGGTTTTAATTTCCTATCTAGCACTGTCCAGCGCTTGTAACATCTCTTCCTTTGTAGGCACTTTAATGTCAGACATAATTTGTTTCTTGAGTTCTTCAATCTCCTTACTAACTTCCGGCAGGACAGTGTCTGGGAATTCTGGAATGTCCTCTTTTTCTAACAAGTGTTCAGTATTTCCTACAGATGAATGGGCTGTTTCCATTTCACGTTTTGTCAATGGAGCACTACCTGGTCTAGTTTTTGGTTTATGGATCACTTCTTCATATTCAGGGTCCCCAGGAGCAAAACTCACATCGGATCTTTGTTTAGAATGTAGCATGGACTATAAAAGTGAACAAAGTATTATCTACTAGATGTATGGAAATGTATCATATTTTCATTAAAAAAATTTAAAAGTCTGAATTCATCAAAAACAAGCCATCTCACCTGCATGACCTCTTTAGCAGATTGAACCCTTTTAACTCTGTCCAATTCCACATTCACTTTTTCTTCATACAGCTGTCCACATTTCTTCACATAGAGTCGTCTTAAATGAATTAAACGTATTAATTTTTAACCCTTGTATTTACTACAGTGTACAAAATTAATTATATTAAAATCTTATAAAATATACAAGACTAACCTCAATTCAATATTTTGTGTTATGAGATCGTTAATCTTTTGTTGATACTTAGAATCCACTTGTTGAACTTTCTCATCAAACTGCTCTTCAAAGGACATCAGTTTTACTTTCTGCAATATCAAAATGTTTACCATTATGGATAATTGTTGCCAGATTATACCAAATTTAAATTTCCCTTTCGCTGAATATTTTCAATTTTATCAAAGTAAAATAAACTAGTTCTGATTATGATAAATTCGAACATGATTAATACTTTATAATTAATTGAAAGATTTAAAACATACTGTGTCGGCAAGTTCTCTGGACGTATTGGCCAGCTGTTGACATGTTTCATTATAAGCAGTGGTTATGGTCTCTAGATCACGTTTTGTTTCCTATAATAAAATACGGATTAATGGACAGTAATCATGCTGAAAAGTCCAAAATAAATCAAATTGAAAGTGAAGTAGTCATGGACCCCTGAAACTTGAGAGATTGGATCAGATGCCATGAAGAAGTGAGCATCCCTTGTCGCCTGGTAACAACCACCATGTGCCCTTTGTCTTGATTTGGGTAAACGGATAAATCCACAGTCAGTTCAGTGTGGAAATAATCATTCATTATAGTTTTAATAGAATAAGAAATGATCTGCATTGCCAGGCATAACAAGTTAAAAATATTAAAGAATAAAAAAAATCTCTTAAACACAATTTACTTTTATTTAATTTTACCTTTAATTCCGCTGTTGTTTTCTTTAACCTTTCCAAATCAGCAGCTGCATTGGAAAATTTCCTTACTAATGCCTACAGAAAAAAGCATGTTATGATCTTTAACTTTTAAACATGACTTTTTTTCAACATACAGCACAGCAATATTATTTTCATTCTTTCTTTTTAAATGTAAAAATAGTTTGTTCTTTAGATGGCACTTACATCCAGTTCTTTTTTGTGTTCCTTGCGTAGATTTTCAATAGTTTTCTGATGATCTTTCTGCATTGCTATCCTTTCTACATTCCTCTCCTGTATTACTTTCATTTCTGTTAAGAAATATGGATGCATAATTAAAATACATAATAAATTAGTGTGTCTGTAAACTCAAAAGGAATTTATAACATTATATATTATTAAAAATCCTACTCATTTCATGAACGGCAGCCTGTTTTTCTTCTTGAAGTTGGAGTTTCAGATCATTTTCTCTGTTGTTCCACTTGTCGTCCATATCTTGGTGGAGTGAACTTTTATAGGACTCAAATGCACCTTGTAGAAATTCTATTTCTTTCTTCATTTTTACTGAAAGAAAACATCAATTAAAGTTCCAGAGGCATAAGCTATACTTCTTTTCAAATCTAAACCATTTATTTCCTTAACAAACAATTTAGCTGGTCAAACTGTTGAATGCAATCATAGTTTGGGTATTATAATTGTTAAATTTTTTTATTTAACACTTATTGTTGACATATGTTGCTTATATTTTCCTTTTTATAGTCGCACTCTATTGAAACGTTGACAAAACTTCTAACCAACCATGGCTCATACATGAAATGTAATAAATATAAAACTAACAGAAAGCCTTGAATTCCAATTTTAGGATATGACAAATCTCTAATATAAACTAATTTAAAAGACATCTCTAGATATAGTGACTGAAGCATTAACGAAGTTATCAAATGGTGGACTGTTGAACCAGCTGTTATAGAAAGAATAACACAAAATAATGAGATGACTAAATATTGGCACTAAGCTAAATGTATATGTACATGTACTAACAGATTTGTCCTCGCTCAAAACACGAAAGAGATAAACAGAATATTGGGACTATGTAACATGTACTAACCAATTTGTCCTCACCCAAAATGCTAAAGAGATTAACAAAATGATGGAATTATGTTACATGTACTAAAAGATTTGTCCTCACTCAAAACACTGAGGAGATGACCAGAATATTAAGCCTGGGACTATTTTACATGTACTTACTCAAAACACTGAGAAGATGGCCAGAATATTTGGACCAGGACTGTGATACATGTACTAACAGATTTTCCTCACTTATAACACTGAGGAGATGACAGAATATTGGGACTATTTTACATGTACTTACAGATTTGTCCCTCTGCTGCAGTTTTGTAAGCCTGGTGATCTGCTTCGATACTGAGGCGGAGTTTCTCCATGTCATCTCTATGATCCTCTTGCAAATCTCTGTTGAAACATTTAACCACATTGGAAGGAAACAAATAAACGTATATCAGATAAATAGAGTACTGCATTTCAAATTTTAGAAATATTCATTAACAGTTCCAGACTGAAGATGAACTGGTAGGTAAATATCTGGCTGAATAATAATAGTAAACAGTAAACCTGATGGCATCCCTATGTTGATTGTTCAGTTCATCAATTTTGTCTTTTAGAAATTCCTCTGCCTAAAAAAATAATTCAGTACATATACATAATCACATACATAAACATATTTCTTCAAAGAAATTCTAAAAGTACACATTAAATGAGCTTTTTAAGTATCAAACATTACATTAAATATTTGATATTCTTTAATATTAAATAAGAACATTATAGAAATTGGAATGAAAATATCAATTGGACGTCAGAATGATTAAGAAGACAAAAAGAAATGATATGATTTCCACAAACCTTCTGTTTGGTCTGTCTATGGTTAACTCGTTCTTCCTCTAAGTATAATGTAAGGTCGGAGATTTGCTGCTGTAATTGCTCAATGATTGTATCCCTATTTCAAGATCAGACAATAAAATATGTTTGAAATTCTTTCCTACATCACTCAACGATTTAATTAATTGTTTCAAATGCCGATCTACCTTATGGCCTAATTTGAAAATAAAACTTATCATTAAGATAACCTTTAAAAAATAACATTTGGTTAAAAATCAAACACTATAGAAAAAAAAGCATTATATAATTTTGAACATTGAGACTAAGAGAATTAATGAATACACAACACACATTTGTTATTGTCACACAAGACTTCATACATACATGCTTCTCTCTTGTTGAAATTTTGCAACACATCGTTTATTGAATTTAAACGAAATTGTGAACCATGAAATCAAAGTTAGAGAGCAAATCATCATAAAACTCTTGATTATACAAAGCAGTCACAAAATACTTCGGTGTTCATTCTTGAATAAAGGAAAAGAAACATTAATATAGTGCTGGACTCGAATGCAAGGGAAATGGTTTATCTTAATACCTCTCCATAATTTGTTCTAGGAATCTATTATCCTTTCCAGACACCTTCGGTGTCTCTTTCTCCACTCTATAGTAAATGTTTAAATTAATCACGGTTTTAGAGGAACTAATCAATGCTTTACAATTTAACAGTACATAAAAATCAGTTCCATCTTTGATATAGGGTTTATTTTTCTTTTATTGAATAAACATATTGATTTCTCTTAAAATGTTAAATGTTTGGCACACAGAACTTCAAATGTTAAAACAAAATTAATTTCTATCTTTGGAAACACATTAATCCATCATCATTAAAGTTAATTGAACATAACTCATAAAAGAACAAACATTACTTAGACTGTCGAGATGATGGTCTGTAATTCATAGAAAAAAAAACGCAATTTATAAACGAATTCTCTGCTAATTTGTTTTACATGGCTTATGGAAGAGAAAGAATTTCTAGAAATAAATGGATAACATGACGTAACTTTTTATAGATGCTTAATGAACTGAAATATTAGTAAATGGCTTTTATACTTTGTATTGTAAAGAAGAGATTAAGTACCAGACAATAGATGTTCAAAGTTCAACAATTCTCTTAACCAGTGTAATACTGCATAAAAATCTTTTCTGTATAAAGTTGTCTCCTATTTTCCTTTTTTTAATGAGGTGTGTTTTGAAGAAAAAAAAAATACCACTATTCTAAGCAATATTTTTAGTGTTAACCAAAAATATTTACCTTTCTGTGGGTACTTGTTTCCTCCTGTAATAAAAAAGTTACATGTATTCATGCAAAGAAAAAAACCCCAAACAAATCAATTGTTTTTAGTCCTTTTTTAAAAGAAAAATTCACTTTTGTTTGTTTATTTGTTTCTGGGTTTTTCTTTTGGTTATAATCTACTTTTTATTTTGCATAATGACTGACTTTTGAGATTCCTCTGCTACAGGCTCAAAGAATTCTTCTTTGATGGTAACAGCGAACTTCGATTTGCTCCTGGACAGGATATAGCCAGGGCCCGTGACAAAGGGCACGAGAGGAGTCTGCAAGTACCAAAATTGTCATAGGATACAGGTCAACAACAACGACAAACTAGAATAAGCCAGAAAATACTTACGTCTAGATTCTTTTGCCATGGAGGTGGTTTGTTACGCTTAGCAGGCATGTGGTTTTCTAAATTGTGTCGTCTTGTGGGTTCATGCTCTACCTGGGACACACGATCACAGCTGGACCTAAAATGGGGGTAAGTTTAATTACCGGTACATACTTAAATGTTTTGGTTCGGTCATTCTGAATCTGGTAACAATGTTTTAACAAATTGTTTGAGTGTCAAAGAAATCTTTTGATATACAGTATTAAAATCACTTTCGAAATGACAAAAAACCTGTATGTTATGTATGTTAAATTTATTAATAGAAAACTAATTGGCTTCTGTAATTAAGTAAACATTTTTTCTCGTAATGTTGAACATGAAAAGAGTGGCATGCATAAGGTCATATATTTCCAAACCTCTAGGTGATAAGAGCGGGTGTCCGAACCCAGCCTATCAAAACCAGCGATACACCTGACAAACATATCAGGGTGGAAAACTTAATTGAAAATAAGTTAAATATTTATTCAAAGAATTAGTGATTGGGGCGTCAACGCCTTTGAAAATTTATCACATAAAACTAGCAAAACCTATTTCCTTTTTAGAAAAAGTGGGCCAACAAGAGTGTAGTTGACTTAACAGACTTAAATAAAATACACACCATGTAAGTTAAGTAATTCATAAACATTATTGATGTTTTGAACAATATCTTATTATTTTTTCATACAAGGATAAGCTCTCTGTTCATAACATTATGCAATTCTGTTTTGTATTTTTAAGCTATCTTTATTTAAACTCTCAACACTCAAGAAGTTTCTTAGTCGATTTTGTTCTCACAATTGATTTTTCACTGAAAATCATCTTTAAAGTAGTTTCTGCGAATATGTACGTGAAGACATGTGTAATTCAGCGTGGAGCACATAACTAGTTTTTTTCAGCGTTAAAAGTTTTCTATCATAAAAATGAGTTCCAAACTCAACTCAATTAGATATTAATTGTCATTACATGTAATACTTAATGTCTATGAAATACTATTTATTACGGTAAATTGACATAGAATGTACAAAATGTAAATTATAAAAATTCATAAAACTGTAATCATTTTTTCCATTAATCGTCTTTTATCAGACCTTTTAATTATGATACTGCTATACATGAATATATTGACTTTTCTGTATATATATGGAGAAACTCTTGTAGGTTTCTATGTATCCTGCACAATCCCATGTTTGTTAAGCAAAACTTCAATTAATATCTATACAGTTCATTTTCAATATATGTTCATTTATATGAAACAAAATGTACCAATTTACAGACATCGTTTCTACATTTCTCATATTTTTACGAGACAATGAATAATTCGCACTAAATGTATTTTTAAAAATGTTTATCAGTCTTTTCTAGTACCATTCGGAAGAAACTTCTTTATTCAATAAACAGTTACTTACATGCTCCATTAATATAAATTTTGTATGATTTAGAGTAAATTTCTAGATGATAGAGCTAGCATCAATGAATTAAGAATTTATAAATGACTTAAACTTTAAGCCTTTCAGTAGATTTTAATTGTAGGTGGACTTTAAATACATAAATTATTATCCAATTTTTTGTGTACCATGCACAGAGAATGACAGTAGTTTGATATTAATCAAAATAATTTCTTTAGAATTCAGTCTTCAGCAATGATAAAATCCGCTTACAGGTTGGTGTCAGTAAACTTTAGTTCAATGAAACAAATCAAATTCGATGCAATGCACTAGATAAAGCAACTCTGATATACATGTAGTATTTGCAAAAAAGTAAATTGATTTGCTAAAAGCTGTTTACATGTTTATGTTCTGTTGAAATACATAAGCTGCATGCAGCTAAATAGAGATGACAAACTTTAATGAAATCTTAAGTTTTGACATGAATAGAGAGTCTTTGAATGAAACCCACATATTTCCAAAAGAAAAAAAAAGAATACCTACTTTAAAAATTTCGATTGAAAGGAAATACGAAATCATTTTTCTTTCTTTTTTGCTAAGTCAGATATACCGTATACGTGGAATTTGTAGCGATTCCCCCCCCCCCCCCCCATTGGTATATATATTTTAGCGAGAAGTAATTTTAGCGATTTTATAATGTCAAGAAAGATAGCTATAATAGCCGATAAGGAATAAATTGTAAGCAATTTTAGCGATCTCAAAACCCTCGCTAAAAATTCTGCTTACACGGTAATAATCAATGCAAACTGATTCTACCACGTGATTTTGTTGTTTAACAAACATTTCGTCACTTACTCTGATTTGGCAGATAAAACTGCAGCAGCTGTACGAGGTCTGTTTATCTTAGAGGGAGCCACTGACGTTGCATTGGTGAGATTCGTATTGGCATTAAGTGAAACTCGAATAGAAGCTGGAGTTGATCTGGAAAAAAAATGAAAACTTGGTTAGTTTGAAAGTCTTATAATATCCTTTTTATCTCTTCTTTATACATGTATGTATTAATGTAATATTATGTATTTTGTCAAACCCTGATTACTGTAAATGCTTTTTAGAAAATCGTCATATATCAACATCTTAAATACAACCTGGATATATTTTATCCAATAAACCAACAACTATTGCAGCAAGAGGTCAATAACAAAATTCACGTGGTCAAAAGGAAATTAACCACGACACGTTGCTAAAGGTATTCCTTATTTACAACTCAATTCCCCATCTTATCTTTAAGTGTATTTCCAGTGACAAAAAGCCAATAGGGAAAGAGGTTATCGCTGATAAAAAGTGATCCATAATAAATTTCAATCCTTCACCAGAAATAGACGTGTTTTTACTTGTCAATCAAATACAGTATACACATGGTACATTCTTCGAAACAGTCTGAAATCTTTCTTGATAAGTTTCAGAAAAAATTAGAAAATGTAACGTTAACACTGAAATGGAAAATGAATGAAAATGAAAATAATTAGAAACTTTAAACATAGCATTCCTGTACTGTACAGTTGGCAAATATCGCTTTCTACCTGATACATGCATGTACGAGTACTTGTTCCAATATCAATATAAAAGGTGTAAGAACAAATTGATGCAACTCTGTGCAAACCCAAAGGTCGATTGTCACAGCTCAATCAAGATTTAAATACTTATTTTGGTTCCTCTGAAAACCTTCTCTTGATTAAGTTGTGAGGGTGATAAAACGTTCAGTGAATAGTAGAGATAATATCTCCTCGTGATTTCCCCTCATTATGCACATTCAATCCTCCCTGTTTGATTTATCTGCATTCAAAATAAATATCCAGACCATAGTTTAATGCGACAAGAGATCAATTTCTACTTCAAATTTCTGAAATATTACGAAGTCGATCGCATATGAAGTGTAAAATATTATTTGATCAATAATTTAATAGTTTATCAGAATATGCTTCACTAAAATGATAATATTTAAAAACACTATTGGGAACTTAACGCAACCTTGGTTCTTCTGAAACACCACTTTACGTAAAATCTCCGGCGATTGAACAGCTCTCAATCTTTCAGATTTACTCATGACTTTATTGACACAAGTTCTCTATAGTTTACACCTGTATGGAAAACCTGACGTCAAGTTGTCAATAAAAAAAAAATGTGCATTGATTTTTATTGCATCGGATAAAAAGTTACAAATATTTAAAACACAATTCAGAGAAGTTTCGCTTCACAATGTAGACCTGGCTGTTTCTAGATAATAGATTTATGTTTACAATGTATATATGTTTTCATAAATTGTAAAACAGGTGCTCTTCAAAATACTGTACCCTTATATGCAAACAAAGGTTATACAAAATCCTCACACTGAAATTGGATAAGAAAGTCAAAGTTGTAAAAAAAATTTTTTCAGACTTGAATGATGAAAAATGACCAGTAGTGTAGCGTATAATGCTGAATTTGTGTAAATCCTTTTCTCATATTGATTTTTAAGAGAGAGAGAGAGAGAGAGAGAGAGAGAGAATTTGTGTAAATCCTTTTCCCATATGGATTTTTGAGAGAGAGAAAGAGAGTACCTAAACTTACACATAATGTACCACGAGTTTTCTAGGGTCGTCGATATAGGAAGCATATGAGGTCAGCGTGTATCCTTCAGACTGTAGATTGGGTAAGAAAGTTGTAAAAGTTGGCTGTAAACCAATGGAAGGAACTTCGGTCTCAGTAAGGAATGACTTTGGGTATGTAGTCAGCTTCCTCTCATCAAAGGACAGAGATTTAGGCTGGTTAGTGAAGAACTTGGGCTGGTTAGTGAAGAACTTGGGCTGGTTAGCGAGCTGTGGTAGCACGTCAGTCATCACAGACGTTTACTTCCTCCGGGAGGTCAACAGATAGAATGGTAAAAATATAGATATTCCATTTGGACAGCAAAACTGAGTATTGTTTTTTTTCATTACGTCCCTAGGTATTCATTTGGCTTTGTTGTCATTGAAAAAGGCTGTCGACTTAGATCCAAAAGTAAACAGTAGACGGGGATCAAACCTGTGCACCTTAATCCGGGTAAACCGTGCAAGGAAATCCCTGACTTCTGGTAAAAGTGGTCGTCAGCTGGTATCCAGTTGTGAGGGAAGTTTCATCAAAGTGCATTTGTGGAATTGTTTAAAAAAATCATTAAAAATAGTCTCGAGAGCGTTACAAGTTGTACACCGCTAATATTTCATTTCAGCAAGATTCCATTTTTTAAACAAGTGAAGATGAGAAACATTAACAAATCCAGTATAAATGAAAAATTCACTTAAACTCAGTCCATTTACGTCATGAACCCCGGTGATAAAATTTCAATATGTTAAAGAACTTATATTCAGTCATTTGAATAGTTCATCACTGAGATTAGTGTAAATCAGCCAATGTACATATATAATCAAAAGTTGACGTTGGTAGAGGAAAATAAAATCCACCGTTTCTTGCAGTAACCCAAACTTTCATATCATTGTCGGAAAATACATATCTGGAAGATCAATTTTGAATCCCTGTTATGTTCTAAAAGCATATTCATGTGCTCAAGTATACGTGAATGTTTAGACCCTTTAAATTTTTCGAACAATTCATTTGTGTATTGGATTTGGCTGACACAGAAAGGAGAGGAATAAACACTTGCACTGACCTATACAGGAATTGTCGAGTGAACTTCAAAGGTCATATGCTGTATTAGAAGTAAATTTCTTGTTCAAATAAACGATATGTGCTTTAATTTAATATCTTTGTATGCATACATGTACATGAATGCAAGACTTGATGTTCGGCCATTCAAGGTGAAAATTAACACTCATATATAAAATAGCTGGAAAAGGTATAAATAGGTGTTTTAATTTATGAGGTCTTCACTTACTAGGAAATTCGGATATGAGAAAAAAATTCCTTTAACAAGATTTGTATACAAGTAAATCCTGCGATAATGTCAGAAAAAATAGGTAACAATAGATACCCTCGATTAAAATACAGAATAAACGTTAAAAATCCAATGACAATGAATTAAAAACGATAGAGTATCCAAAAGATGGGGTTAAAAAAGATGACAATAAGAAAGTTAAATTGATACTAATATGTGTACATCAATACTGATGCTCTTTGCATTGTATCACATGAACTTCCCTGATTAAAATCTTTGGGTACTTTTTCTTTAGTGTAGCTTCAAATTATACTGCAAAAAATGGTAAGTATTGTTAGAAATACACCACTTTCCACATTAAAAGGTGATGATTGCAGAATAAAATGCAATGGCAGGTAAGCAGTTCAAAATGATACAAGGATCTCAGAATAAGCCCACAATATCTATTTAATATTAAATGAAAGAATGAGATAACAGTGTCATGTTGGGAAATAACGGGAAAATCCGTCGACAATTTAGTGTGTAAATATATTTCAAAAATAATCATTCAATGCTTATATTTACACTTTTTAACTCCTTGCCTTGAACGCAAATGTGATTTATATCTCAAAATCCCTGTATTATCCTTCGGGTAAGTTACAATTAATCGAAGAGCCATTGCAACAGCTCCTGTTTTATGAGAGCGTGATTTTCGCTTATATGACGTTGCACTTCCACATTTTTCATTGTTTGTGACGTCAAAATAAAACGCATACTATAACCTCTTGACCCCCTGTCTGTGTTACGGTGTTTTGAATGCCGTAGCTTTCCAAACACTTTATAAGCAAAACACATGTGTTATGAAATTAAAAGTTTCATTTTTAATAAAGTTAGATACGTGAAAAAAAACTTTAAATAGTGTTATATAATAGGAAACATCTGCAAATGTAAATATTCATGTTTAAAATACTAATAAGCATTCTCAAGTAGCGTAAATTCACACCTGATCACATCGTGACCCCTGTGGTTAAGGTGGGGCCCACAATATGACATTGGAAATCTAAGGGGATTTTTATTTTATTTCCTCAAAAACAGAAGGAATGTGGCTATGCATATATCCCGATGTAGTGTATAAATCATCCCCGGGATAGGATGGGGTTGCAATGAGGGTACGGAGTTTTATACAGAACTTTGTTATGTCCTTATAAATATCTTTCTATATATTTATTACAACTAAAAAGTCCAACAAAGTAAATGTTTTTGCATCAGTCTAACGATTTCATTGTTGACTGGTGTGAGTCCAACATAAGAATTGCTAGACCGCAACATCACTGCTACGTCACAATTGATTCTATAGTCGTCGTTCAATATCGGCAACACGGAAATAGCCGAGGTTTCAAGAGTTACCGTACACTATTTGGAAACATGGGAAAATTATGTTTTATGATAAATAATTTCTGTGATATAATGATTTTTTCCCATTTTTTATTGTTTTATTTTTATTGATAGAGCCAAAATATTACATATAAAAAATTGTTTATATATTAAGTAAATCTATTTAGAGGTTTTTATTTTAGTGTTCTAACTTAAGTGAAGGGTATAACAAAACAGTTATAGACTGGGATTCGGGCAACATATGATATTTTGTTGGACCTGAAGGTGAAATGTTGCCGGCGGCCTCGTGCAACATTTTTCACTTTCAGGTACAACAAATCATATGTTGCCCTCATACCCTGTCAATAACTGTATAATGTAAAGTCTACAGGAGCAGCATGGTAAAAATTAATATCTCGACAAAGCCTCGATAACCTACAATTAAAATTAATGAGGTCATGGAATTTAGTAGATGGCAACAGTAAGTTTAAATACATTGTAGTATTTACATATTCATTTTCCGGAAAGGTCTGGTGACTTAGGTGATCGTTGCAGCCAGCCCAATGAGTCTCCAGTGTTTTTTTAAACTCCTATAATATATCTTTGTTGGATTATATTAATAAAGCGTATTTTCCACTTAATTTATTACAAAAGCCCGCATCATCTGATTATTGACGATTATATTTTCCTTAACCTTTTGTTATTTTACTTATTCATATACATTGTACCAGAGTACCGAAAATAATTTTCTTTGAAGTAAATTTGCATTTAGAGATTCCCCTATAAATATATCACAGGATAATTTTAACATAAAGGGCAAAAACTTTTCAAATTTGATAACTTTAATTAGTTGTTTGACAGCAATTAAAGTTTTAGGTAAATGAATATCCGTATTCTGAGTTCGTTTATAGACAATTTATTTCGTTATTGCTCTCTGATTAGTCTCGTTTCAAGTTCCTCAAGTAATTTCAGCGAATTATTACTTTTTTTAATATTACTGCCAAGAAGAAAATATTGAAAACAAAAGCCAGTTAGAAAAGATTACTATTCAATTCAATTGAAGTAAAACCCCGAATTAGAATACTATAAACTTATTTTTGGTATATTTGTATATACTCTACAGATCTTTCATTTTTAAATACATGTATAATCCTGTAGGAAGACTAATAAGACAGATTTTCTATATTGATCATAAGATCCCATTATAAGGTATATGCGACTGCAGCAACACGCATATGAAGAAAATGTCAATGAAATCCGCGATTCTGGAGAGCAGATCCGTTCATTATGGACTTTCAAATTGGTAAGAAATGTATTTTTCCATGAAAAAAATTTCTCAAGAATTTTCATAAAGGAAATGTATAAAAGTAACAATTCGTATTATTCTTCGAAGTAACTAAGCAATGTTCCATACACTGTTCCATATACTGAAAAAAGAACCCATTTACGCCCTTAGTTTTTGACAAAATACACGAAAATCACCACTACTAAAGATACTTGAAAAAGAAACCCTTTCCCAAAAAAGGTGACAGTGTTGGCTGCTCTTTTGTATTAGAAGTTTTGCTGAAGACGACGTTAGGATCTACATGTATGTCCAACATTTACAATAGTAATGTATTTTTCTTAATGTTAAAAAAAAATATTATGCAAATCATAAAGAATATTTTGGTTTATTATATTTTTTAAATTAGTTTTATACTAATAGTAAATAAACCTGACCTTAGAGTGGAGTAATGATTTGCTACTTCCATCATGCAAGCACGTAAACAAACAATCTTGGACGTTTTAATCAATCAAGATTAAATCTATCAAGATCAGCTTTGTGATTCATTATTTTTTACATTGATACCAATAGATTAGTGTAAATGAATGGAATCTTTCTTGCAATATGTAACGTGATATCAGCAGATTGAGGTCTTAATCATAGGTTCTTGTTTCCTTAAACATGCCTCATCAAAGAAGGAAAACAATTAAATCGTCTGGTTTTGATCATGAAACTTTATGGGCATGTTTGTATGAATAACTTCAGTCTTTACACGATTCCCGACGTTTAAACCATTATTTCATGTGATACGAAGAAAACAAATTCAATTTAAATGCATCATTTAATTTTTTCAAGAATGTACGCCACACAATTAAGCATTTTAAAGTTTCAATAAACCAGAACCTTAATTTCTGTTTACCAAGCAGAGAGAACTTGTACAATGGTGTAAAACCATTTTAAATCCCAATGCAAAGGTGGCCTGTTTCAATACATTTGTATATGCAGGAATAAGTGTTGCTATCAAAATATATAGATTTTCCTTTAAAAGCTTAAGGCCGAAAAAAAATCAATTATTTTGTTTTAAAGAAAACCTTTAGCAAGATAACTTAAGAACTACCGCTTGTTATCCATTTTTGCAGATACCGGTAATAAAAACTACCTTTATACTTGTTGTTTAATATCAGAATGACAAAATTTCAAAATAAGTTTTAAACTGAAAAGGGTATTTAGGATGCTGGATGTGAATAAATAATATTCTGCCTGAGTAAAGAATTAAAAAAAATTCCCCAAAACGTTTAAAATGTCACATTAGAATTATTTTAAAATCCAAACTTTCGTAGTAGTACACAATGCTGTAAAAGCATTTTATCTGATCCTATACCAGTAACGCCTTTATGCAGAAAGTCTATAGACTGTTGCATCGTAAGAGGAAACTAGCGAGAATCATGACATTCTACAAAGACAGTTTTCAGATATTAAACACAACAAAAAACTATCTGAAAAGTGTTTATGCTACAGCGACAAATTATATGTACGTTATTAAAGAAGTATCTTTTAAACTTTGAGTTCTGCATGCATCATAAGGAAAGGGGACTGGATATTCACAATATCGACTCATAAAATATACATGTATGAAACATTGATTTTCTACACAATTTCTGCCTTGATTAAATATCAATGAAATTAAAAAAATAAATAAATAAAAGGAGACATTGTATCAAACAAGTTAAAAAAAGGAAATTAGAGACTAGCAAATATGTTTTTACAATTTAGAGCATCGTAGCATAAAATGTTAACACTATTTTCTAAAAACATTCATGTTACCTTGGTGAATAGAAGTACATGTTCCCGGATACAGTTTTTCATTTCTAGGGAGGTAAATCCGAACATTGACTCCCGATTTAGAAAATCGATGAAAATAGGAAAAATTGAACATCTACATTGTATTGATTTTGTTTGAACCTACAATAAGGGGAAAGTCGGGTGAAAGCTTTTAACACTGGCTGTGTCTAACGCCAGATTTTACTTTGATTTGCAACAACACTGAAAATTTTTACTGGTCTTATGTATTTTGTGACTCCTGCGGTGCCTGTTGTTCTTTCATTTGACACTGACATTAAATATTGGTGTAATTTATTTTTCAACATGCACTTGCTGGTTGCTCCATAGTAACAC